AGATATCTGGATTTACATCAAAACTGGTGTGTTTCATAATCCTTTTTTTGAGAGCATTGCTCGCCATACTCAAGAAATCCGGAATATCGTTAATCACCTTTTTTCGTGTTTCTATATAAGCAGTAAAATTGCCTTTACAATACTTTAGCTGCATCTCGGTGAAAAAACATATCTTTGTTGTAAATGCTACGAAAAATGTTATTATAATCCCAATATTCATATTATAAAGAACTTTATTAGAAAATAAATTAGAAGCAACGTTATTAATAATTTTATAATAAAATAAATATTATATGTTGGTTTCTTATAAACTTACAATACTAATCTAAAAAATTTTCATACGCCATTTAAAAAATTTGATAGATAAAAGAAGGCTTTATGATAAGCATTTTACTTATTGTAGAAATTAAAATGTTGATAATAACGTATAATTAACAGATATTTTTAAGTTACATAGCTTTTTCGTCATTGTGGTATTTTTTTAAACAAATCACTTTCATTTTAGCCTAATAACTTTAAACAGAGTTAGTTATAGCTGAAAAAATATTTCACTAAAAAAATCAATATAACTCTCAATGCAAAGTAGATTAATGATAATTAAAAAACTAAAATTTTAAGGCTAGTCATCCGACGAATAACGGTAATATATTATGGTGAAAAATTCATCTATGTCCTGTGGATGGATAGAAACAAATATTAAAAAAAATAGTATAATTAACAAAAATTATTATGTAGACCTAGGAACTGCTAAATTTTACCTCGTACATAGCGCTATTAATTTGTTAAAAGCAATCGTACATAATTTTTAACTAGAAGAATATAATAAAATAAAGCCTAAGATGGAAAGAACTAATAATAATTTAAAAAAAGAATATTTGACTTTGTCTAATCATTTAAAAATTTAATTTTATCTTGGTAAACAATCGTGTGAAAACTTAATTTTATCTTAGTGAATAATCATGTGTCAGTTTTTTAATTTGATTTTCTTTTTTCTATTTAAGTAGCATCAAAGTTAACATGTAAACTAAAGCCTGTTGGTAAGCATAAGAATTTAACTAATAATAAAAGTTTATGCACACACTGAGATCTGGTCAGCGCTGTTTGGTTATTAAGTTATAATGCTTATTAAAAATTAATGTAGGCCACAATTTTTTGTTTACAGGTAGCAAAGGGCACTTTACACTATGCAGTAATAAACATTTGACATTTCATTTTGTTAAATGCTATAAAAGTCGTCTATTCGGAAGGGGGATGAATGAAAACTAGTTGTCAGCAGTCTTGTTTTGTTTTGTCCCATTGATAGGAAAAGTCAAACGTAAAAGTGACTGAGCCGGTTTTCCCAAATTTTTTTCATCTTCAGAAGGGTGGGCCCATCGCTGTCCATGCCAGAACTATAAAAGCATTTAAAAAGTAGTGGGTTTTCTCATCGTTCAAAACCATAATTTATAAACTGTAATTTCGAGGTTAATTTGGCATTATGCAGCAAAATTTGCACATCGCCTCCTAAATTCAAAAGCATTTCGTCTACGCAAGCGTATTCTCCAATAGAGTAACATTGTTGACAATTTTTACAAACGTCTCGGCCGTTGCACCAGTTTTATTTCTATCTGTTCTATCAGATGCATTATTAAAGCTAAACAAGCATGCTAGAATGACTAGTGCACGCTTCAAAGAGATAACGCAACGAAAAATGTGCCATCTGTAGCGAACAAAGCTTGAGATCTTCACGATTTGAGTTGAAGACTGAAAAATACGTCAAGATTTCTAGGAAACATCCTATATTCCATGAAATTTGTATTTCTGTAACTGTCTGTCTTCTAAAGAAAGTCTCAATTTAACCTGTGGGAACTTTTCGTTTGTTCGTTTAATTATGTCCCTCGATAATTTATCTGTAAAAATAGCGAGCAGAAAACTGAGTACAATAATTTCCTCTCTGTTTTGCTTAACAATAATGCTTGGAAGATGTCTAACTATGTTATGCTTCCTTGTTCGGAAGTTTGACTTTGGAGATTCTGCAGACCATTTGATATTTTTCTTTCCATAATATACTTTGGGATTTGGCTTCTGCCTTTTTTTTTAGTTGGCTACCAACTTTATTCGAAGGAACCCCCCAGGTTTTCAGATTCGACGAGCTCCTTCTCAGAGACACTGTCATGATCATTAGCGAAGCCTGGGTCTACACTGTCTCCTTCGTCACCAATATAACCACTCTCTAAATCATTATAAATATTTATTGCTCATTCCATAAAACCTGGGCCAACCGATATTACTACACTTCCTGAAGACGTGAGGCCACAACAAAAACCGAGGAAAAAACAATAACGTAGATAGTGAGGTGGGGCGTCACAAACCCCAAATTGGATTTGTAGGAATATTATCGTTCGAATTTGTAATATTATTTGCAGCGTCCGTGTACTATACCGATAGAGAGCGAACAGACTAAGAGGTATACAGTCAATGAGCGATTCTTCCACTACTTATAATCATGTGGCAATACGTTTTTTAATTTCAGAGGAGTTTGAAAAACCCCACCCCCGAGAGACGGGTTTAGGTGTCTTAAACACATGGATTATTGCATCATCCATTTAATAACTCCAGTTTTGCTTTGTAATTTCACCTGTTTTCGAAAATAAAAAACAGCGTCTACTTACAATAGTAAAGCTTAAGTAAGGTATAATTATTGTAAAGGAAGTGTCACAGATGGTGATGAGCTAGCTAGTAAGGAACATGAAAATAATCTCAATTCTCTTGGCTCCAAAATGCTAAACGCCTTGTTTGAAGTCCAAAGAGCCTTTAATTAATTTAAAAACTTCAACCAAAAAAAGCTTTAGAATGTGAAAAAATAAATTATATTAGCAATTTTATAATAGACAATTTTTAATAACAGGAAGGTCGCCTGCGGGGGATAAGGACATTAAATAAGCACTACCACCTTTTAAGTTTTTTACAGATGATCTGTTTTCTCATGTGCTGACTCAAAGCTATTTATATTTTTGTAAAAAAAAAAATTGAGCGACGATGGAAGTGGAGGAGATGTTTTCTTTTTTCTGGATATGCCACTATTTTCAAAAAGAATATTTTGGTCTTCTTTACTAAGCTTTCCTTATGACTTTTCATAATATATGACTCAGTGGATCTGAACGACTGTTAAGAAATTTTATTTAAATAGTACTAAACATCTGGACCTAAAAGTTCGACCGTACAAACTTGGACCCGTCAAAGATTAAATTTAAAATTAAATAAATAGAATAATTGAGATTTGTCAGCTATTATCATACGGTTTTAGTTTTAAAATTTGGCTATCTCTATGGACATGTGATTTCTTACGACATATACACCGGAAAAGCAAGGGGAGGTAGTGCTGCATTTGCTTTATTTAACACTATATCCCCTCATGAAGGATATAATATTTTGGACGGCTTTTTTTAATTAATTCGTTATCTCAACTAATTGTGCAAAAGTTACTATCCAAGAAGATTGAACAAGAGCACTGCGCTGAAGAGACCACGAGGCTCAAATGTTAATGATTGAGAAAGAAACATTTGTCTTACAAATATGGAAGAATAAAAAAATTTAAATCTGCACCCCAAATAACAATCTAAATTAATAAGCTAGCTGTTTTTAAAGATTTTTACGGTATTAATAGACTAGATAGCCTTCAGTTAAAGCATAGTGCAAATTACAAAAAAAATATTGATAAGGTGGCCAAACTTGATTAACTAACCAAAAAAGTGGTATTGGTCTATAATACGTAAAATTTAGGTATATAAGTGTTGGACTTTAAACAGCTTATGTCATACCATCGCTTTAAAGTAAAATAATGCAGCTCAATAAAAAAAAAATGATTGTTTTGACCCACCTAACTGATGATAATTCGAAAAAAAACGTTAAATTTGCTGGAAGCACGGGCCTTTTTTAAAACTATTTTCTAAAGCTCGTTATAAAAACTAATGCCAAGGTCAATCTTTATGACAAACACTGAATATATGTATAAGATTTATTGTAATAAAAACAGGTTATTAGCTTATTCTACTATTATATATTGTATTTAGTATGTGAAGTAATTTTACCCTTTTTTATCAGCTGTCGGGTATAAAAATCAAAAGGTATGGTGGATAATACTTTAGAACGGACGTATTGTAAATGTAAAAATTATCAAAAGGTAATACTCAAAGTGGATAACGCATTAAATTTGTAAGATGAAATTGGAAAAATTATTTGTACATTAAAAAGTAAACAAAATTTATCAATACGATGGCATAGTAGGTAAAATAGTAAACCACTCAGATTAGAAGGCTATGAGGAAGAGCAATTTGAGATTTAGTTGATAGTTGTTAATTAAATTTTTGTTATAAAGGATAAAATAATCTCAGTCAAAAATAAGTAATATGTCAAGGGACATTAATAAGGTCAATGATGCACCAGCTTTTTCCTTCGCCTTTTCTTGTGTTATTTATCTTATTGGTTTGGTTTTAGAGCTAACCCATTACAAACGAGTATATAGAGAAGTTAACCAGATATTTGAATCTTTTTGGGAAAAAACAGAATTTCACTTAATCTTATTAATTGTATACGAAGATATAAAACCTTAAACCCGACAGCTTAACATATATTCCCATACCCTTAGTAGGCGTTTATTTTTGCCGTGATGAAAATATTAACTGAATGCGTAAAATTATTTTTTTGATAAAAAAGGACTTAGCAAGATATTATAACAAAAAGAACTGTTTTTCGGCTAACATAATTTTTATTCTTTAAAAGAATTCCGCTTTCTCTGTAACTCATTTTTAATTTAGCAGCGGCTTAACAAGTGGCGCTGAGAACTCGAAAAATATTTTATGCCTTATTGGGTTCCATTCTGTTTTAACTTGGCGCTTTAAAATTTTTTTGCTTAAGTTAATTGTCCTTGCTCCGCCAAGATATTTTTCGAATTTATTTTTTGGTGAGCGTTCTTTGGTGAAACAAGTGTGGAGTAACTATTAATAATGCCAGTCCAGCAGAGAGATAATAATGTTTTAAAAAAAGAGTTCGCAACTCGCGAAGCACTACCTAGCCCCAACGCAGCAACTTTACCACAACTTTCTTCAGTTAATCAGCAAACGAATATACCTTTTAATCCTTCTTCGCAAATTCATCATTTATCGCTCCAAAATTCATATTCGCAACCTCAACAAACCCATGTCCCTGAGCTGGGCTCCACGATTGTAAGTTCTTATAATCAAAGGCCACAACCCAATGCTTATTTTCCTCAAAACCAACCACAGACTACAGCTCCACAATCTCTCTCCTTACAGACTCAACAAGGTTTATAAAAGATTTACAAGAAAGTGATTGAAATTATAATTTAAAAAACTTTTTAAGGCTTTTTTGAAATAACTTATATTTTTCTCTATTACTTATCATATCCATATATATCTTTTTATATTAAGCACCATCTTCAGTGCCTGGTTCTCAGCCAATTTCTCAAACGGCGTATACAAATACTTTGCCTTCCGATTCCTCTCCATTCTATCCGCCTTCTGGAGACGCCACGTTTTACGCGCCTCTTACACCGGTTATTAATTCTAACACGATCCAGCTAGCATCTTTCAATGCGTCTCAGAATTGTCCAGTGGATGGGAGATCCCCAATTTCTCACTATGGGGGAGCCTTTCATTCTTTACCAGGAGAAATATATAATTATGGCCCCCAGGTAAGAGCCTCTGCTCCTTTCCCCCCTCAAATGGGGCCACCGCAAGTTCAAGGATTGTCCGGGCCTCACCCACCGTTCTACCCGCAGTCGCAGATGCCAGCTGGTATATAGTTTTTTTTGTAGGTTTTAATTTTAATGTCTTATATATAAATTATAGGTGCTCCCGGTGATTTAGGGCCACCTTCAAACAAGTTGGATCCTTCGCAAGTACTATTATGTTTAATTTTTTTTTTTAGAATTCCTTTTTATGTTTTATAAATAATAGAATTCTTTTACTTTTTTAGGTTCCTTCTCCAGTATTGCAAATGAGAAAAGATCAAGAAGTACTTGATAGTAAGGAGAGAATATATGGTACTATTAAATTTTAATAACTTTTTACTTCACAATCATTAGATCAATTATAATTTTAAATTTAGAACACTTATTCTTATTATTTTTATTAGATTGATTTAAATTTATTATTTTTAATATTAATTTAATTACGGTTGTCTAATCTTTATTATAGTTATCTGAATAATTATTATTTGTAGGCACTCTTGCCATCTGCCAAGTTGACAGTCCCTTTCCTTTACCTTTTGCTTCTTCTGAGTTTCAAGTTCAAGATGAAGGTAAGCTCTTCCTCTACAAGTATTTTAATTACTTTTAAGTTAAAGTGTAAGAATAAAAACTTTATAAAGATTTGTTCTGCTAATCTTTTTTAATATAATTAACTTTCTTTATATAGTATTATTATGTGACTGCATATACTTATTTTATGAATTTCTTTTGTATATGTCTGTTTTAGTTTTTGCTTACTAACTTTGTTACCAATTTTTTGTATAAATAATCTTTTTACTGGCAATTTTAATATTATAAAAAAAACCTTTTTACATATAATATATATATCACAAAATATCTACAGCGTTATTGTTATTATTATATATAAATATTTTTTTTATTATATTTTATATTGTTACTTTTCTTTTTTATATATATACATTTAGGAAATTGCTCTCCTCGTTTTATGAGAGTAACTATTAACTATTTACCGAACACGCCGGAACTTTTTAACACCAGCAAAGTTAAATATATTATTACTCTATTATTAAAACTTTCTATGTTATAAACTGTTTCTCCTTGTTTATAAAAATTTATTAATTACTATTTTATTACTATTAATTTTTAATTATTAAAATTTTTTATAAAGTTTGAGTGTTTTAGTCTTTTTAATAAGCTTTGAAAGCAAATAAGGCGAGAATAGGAAAAGTTGAGCTTTATTAAATATGTTTTTCACTCTATTTATTGATTTTTTTAAGTGGATGCGCCAGTCCAGCCAAGATGTCAGTTTTCCTTTGCTTAGCCGATCAAAAATTTCATATTTTATATTTTATGTTATATCCCCATTATTTGCTTGAACGGAGGCAAATTTTTAATAACTCGGCGATTACGAGGAGCGTTTTTAATTTTCATTTTAATAACTACCCAATTAAAATTTCTTCGGCAAGCGCTTTATATGTTATAACTTTTATTATTTACTACTTTACTATTATAATAATTATTATTATCAAAACTTTTATAGTTTTTGCTTTTCTTATCGATTTTACCGCTTGGGTTATTCATTTTATTTTTTTTTTCGTTGTGAATATTACGTGTTGCTGCTGAGTAGTGAACATCATGTTTTTACTATTAAAAAAAAGTAGAGTTTGAGGTATATCTTATGTTGATTTGATTTTCACGAATGAAATAAATGTTTAAGCTTTTGCACGCGTATAAAGGACATATTATTGTAGTTCTTATTGGAGTTCCATTATATTGTAGTGCATTTTTTATTGGATGATTTCTTTATTTTTTTTTTAACATTTTTACTTTAATTTTATATATTTGATTATTATTATTTACAAAATTTTTATTGTAATTATCTTTTGCTATTATTATTTTTTTCAAAAACTTAATAATTTTTTAGTAAATTTTTTTGTATATATCAATATTTATATATATTATAAATTAATATAATTTGTATATTTGGTTTTATCTTTTTTTTACCCTTGTTTTGTTACTAATAAATAATTCTTAAAAATATTATATTCGTTGTATAATAATATTTACTTTTTTATTTTTTTATTTTTTATTTTTCAATATTTTTATGCTTTTTATTAATATTTCTTGGTAGAATAATACTATTTTTTAAAAGTTTTTAATTATTTTCTGAAACTTTTTTACTAATTTTGTATATATATATATGTATTTTTACTTATTATTCTTATTAAATTCTTCAATCTTTATAATTTATTACTTTTAAAAATTTATAATAAAGTTTTTTTTATTTTAGTAATTTTTTAAAACTTTTTATGCTATCACTAAACCCTTTTACATATAATCTTTTCGTTTGCTTGATTGTTCTAATTTATTTTTAAGGATTGTATATTTAATTTTTATTTGCTATCAATTACATTTTTGCGTTTCTCCTTTAAATATATACTTTGGTTTATATATTTGTTCATAGATAATAAAGCTTAAAAGTTTTTCTTTTTTTTATTTTTATATATTATAATAACGAAAACTTTTTTGTTAAATTTTTAAAAGTTTTAACTTCACTTTTTTTTTAAACAGCAAACTAAGTTTTTCGATATTTAGCTACAAATAAGATTGATATTGTACACTTGAATATATATTATTTTTTTCACTCCTTTTTTTGTTTAGCGTAAGCCACCTATTATTATAACGTGTCTCTTATTTAACTAATTTTTTTTTTACAACATGTAAGCTTCCGTTGGCCGCTATTATAAGACCATTAGCTGATCTTCAAAACGGTGAAGGTAAATATTAGCAGTAATAGTGAAATAAATAAAATAATAAAATAATAAAATTAATTATGGAAAGTGTTAATTGTTAATGAGAATAACAATATTCTAATAAGAAAACATGAATAATATCAGCTTATAATGCTAATACTAATATTTTACAGCTGAAGTTCCGAAAGTAAACTGTGGTGCAAACGGCCCTGTGAGATGTTCAAGGTCATATTTGTATATACTTTATATATTTTTAAGTATAATAGTAACAATAAAAGAGTTATTTTTATTATAATAATGAACTAATATTACTTACATAATAATTATACTGATACAATAATAATATATTTAAACTATGAATTGTTTAAATTTATAAATATTCTATTTTATCAAAAAAGTTAATAGTAATAATGAAATTATATTTCATTATTTTGTATAAGTATTAATAATGTAATAATATTTATAAATGCTTTCAATATATAAATTTGTTTGAACGTTTTTTTTTTTACTTTTTGCTTTTTGTGTTTTTGTTACTTATGCATACCGTTGTTTATTATTTCCTTGCAGATGTTTAGCTTATGTAAATCCATTCATGCAATTTATTGAAGGCGGAAGAAAATTTGTGTGCAATTTATGTAATCACTCCAATGAAGGTCGCTTGCATGTTTGCTTTTTTTTTATAAATATATATTTTTTTATTTTATATTCATCATTATAGTTCCTGAAGAATATTTTTGCAATCTGGATCACACAGGAAGAAGAAGAGACCTTGCCAGCCGCCATGAATTATTGTATATTAACTTTTACTGTTATAATTATTTTTTTGCTCTTTTTATAGAAGTCTTTATTAAGTGTATGTAAACTTTTCTGTTATTCTTGTTGAATTATTGTACTTTTTCTTATTAATTTTTTACGTGTAATGCACATTATTATTATTTTATTTAGATTTTTTTAATATTTTTTTACAAATATTTGTAGCCATTATTAATTTTTTTTTCGTGTGAATATTTTAATCACTATTTATCTGTAATTTTTTTAGTTATTAACATTTTATATTAATTTTTTCTTTTTCTTTTATTATTTAACTTTTTAGTTATTATTATTGTTTCCTAGTTTTAATATTATTATAATTTAATATTAGTTACTTTTAAAATAAATATTGTTAATTTCTCGTATTAATATTAATTTATCATATTTATTTTATTTATTATTACTTTTGCGAATAATGTTTTTTATTTAATGTTTACCTCTTATTTATAAAAATATTTTTCTTTAATAGCGTTTTACTGTTTTTATTATATATATATATATATATATCATATTTGTATTATATTTAATATGTAATTTACTTTTTATAAGCATTTTTATTATAATTATAAAAAATAAACACGTTACTTTTTATTTTTCTTGTTGTTTCACTTTTCAACCTACTCAAGTTTTTTTGTTATTATTTTGTTAATGAGACTAATTATAGATTTGGCACCGTCGAGTTTCACGTGACCTCCAAGTATTATAATAGAGGTTATTCGACTAGCTGCCATTTGTGATAATAATAATACTAATTATAATTATAGTAATAATGATGACGATTATAATAATAATACTAATTATAATAATAATAATAAATAACTTAATGAACAGAACCGAAGCCGATTCGTTATTTAATTTGTATTGATGCTTCTATGAGTTCTCTGCAATCCGGAATGCTTCAGTATTAAATTTATTTTTTTTAATTTTATTTTTTATTTTTTATGAGTCAAAGTTTTATATTTATTTTCTTTTTCTTCTTATAAGTAAAGAAGATATGTGCGCTTGGTGTATTAATTTCATGTTCCTATTTATAATTTTTATTATAATTTCCTTTCTTATAAGTGATTTTAATAATGAATATTGTATAACCTTTTTATTATAATTGTTATAAATACTTAGTGCATGCATATTTTTATAGTATCGTTATTGTTTATTATTATTATTTTTTATATTAATAGTTGTGTTTCTAATGCTATTCTTAATGTTCTCGATAATCTTCCGAAGCCTGAAGGTAAATACTTTTTTTTCATTATAAAAATATTTTTTAAAAATAATAAATAATAATGCTATTTTATATAAATTCGATGATACATGTATCTGTTAACTTTTGTATGTTTTTATAAAATAATTATTACTAAATTTTATTGAAGAAACTTTACTGCTTATTTATTAATATTATTACTGAGAAATCTTGTATTATTACTATTGCTTATTTTACTGTTATTAGGATTTATTATAGTTTATTCCTTTGTTTTTCTGGTTATTTTATGTTTTATAGGTATTGTTGTAATAAAACTTTTGCATATTTATTATAATATTTTAAAAATGCTATAAACTGTTCTACTAAAGAGTTTCTTCTATTAATATACAGCGATTACTATTAACAATTACTTTGTAATAAATATTTATACTTTTTTTGTTAAGTACCTTTTTTTTTTAATAACTTTTCATATTTTTATATATTATTATGAAAAGGCTCGGCAACTTCGCCTATTCATATTGGAATAATGACTTACAATTATAATTTACAATTTTACAACTTGATGGTCTGTTTTTATGAACTTCTTATTGAAAACAGTAATACTAATAATATCAAACATAACACTAAAGTTTTTTGTTTACTTTTATAAGTAATAATGCAGTATTTTAGTGATATTAATATTAATAAGTAAGGTTATTATTGTTATTTTTTTTTTATAGGTAATAATATTAATAATAGTAGTAATATACATAATAAATATTCTAGTTTTTCGTAGAAAAGTTGAACCTTTTTTTATTATATACAACCTTTATAGTAAGTTTTCTATTTTATAGTAGAAATAATAATAAAATGGACCAAAGCTTACGATTTTTTTTATAAAAATACTATTAATATAAGTGTAAACAGGTTCTTACTATATTCTAAAGCTATGAAAGTTTTTACAACTTTTCTTTCTTTTTTACGAGATTTTAAAAGTAAAAGTTAATATCAGTTATAATACTTATAAATATTATAATATTTATAAAGTTTTGTTGACTTTATACAATTTTATAAAATAAATTATTTATAACTATGACGTTTACTATTAAATATTTTATAAATGATTTCATGTTCTTTTTTTATTTTGCTTTTTGTTTAATAAATTACAAATTATAATTATAATAATTTTTTTTAAGTCATTGAAGTTAATACTAACACGTTTATGTTAGTATTTTTTGGTCACTATTTTCCGGAATATTTTGTTTATTTCAATTTTTATTATATTTTAGTAATTATCATACTGTTATTGTTTCCTTTAGCATTCATTATAAACTTGTTTATGTAATAAAAATATTTCATTTTTTATAATGTAGTCAACGTTAACGCAACCTCAAATGATGGTGGTTCCTGATTTATCCGATATTTTTGTGCCGCTGCAGACCAGTTATTATTTCTATCACTATTACTGTTATGATTATTATTATAACTAAAAAGATTTATTTGTTGATGTTAATGAATCGCGTTCTCTTCTTGTGCAACTTCTTGAGTCGTTGCCAACAATTTTTCAAGTATTGTAAATTTTGTGAGTTTGTTTAAAACATTATTGGTGGCTTGTTCCTTCTTTTATTGGTTTATGAAATGTGATTGCATTTATTTATTTGTAATTGGTGTGTATTTCCCAATCATGGTGTTGGGATCCCCAACGTATTAGCTTTTCTACTTTTTTATGAAAGTATTTATTAATTCTTTCTGATTGGAGGAAAAAAGAAACATTCAAAATATCGACGCTTGTATTGGTGTAGCGGCGAAAGGCGCTTTGGAAGCTTTAAAAGATCATGGTTGACCACTTTATTGCTCCTCGTGTTTATTATTGAATTGATTTGTGTTCGTAATTTTTATTGTATTACTTACTTTTTACTATTGGTTATTTTTATTTTATGTTTATCACTATTTCTTTGGTTGTTATTATATTTACTATGTTATTATTATTTCTTGATAATTTTTTTATTGAGAATTTAAAATAAAAAATATATAATCATTGTTATTTCTCCATAATTATTTTCATATTTCTTTTCGTTTTACTATTTTTGTTATATATTAATCATATTCTTATTCTATTACTATATTTACGTTATTTGTTAATATTTATGATAATCATAAGCAATAATACGTTTTTTAATCGTATTGATAATAATATTTGTACTTTTTATTATTAACCTTTTAATTTTCTATATTTATTATATTTTTATAGTTTTTTTATATTTATGAAATATTTGTTTTCACTACATTTGTTGTTCAGGTGGTAAAGCTTTCATCTTTCAAATGAGTTTGCCCACGCGAGATATTCTGGGGAAACTCTCCGTAAGAAACGATTCAGGCTCTGATATTTTCCAGGGAAAAGTATCATTTTTTATATTGAGCTGTATAGTTTTATTTTATTGGGCACTGCCTTATCTATAATTGTTGTAGATTATTTTCGTATCAGCTGGACGGTTTCTAAATGGCTTTTTATACTCTTTACTTTTACTTTTTAATACCCAATACGCATTCATTTTTTTTTGGTTGTATTAATAACTATCTCTTATTTAACATGTACATATTATTTTATTATTTGTATAACATTACTTTTGGGTTAAAAGTTTAAAGGGCTCTATATTTTCTTTTTGACATTTATGTGAATGGTTAGCTTTCATATTTTTTATATAAACTTTTTTTTATTGTATACTGATATAAAAAACTTTATCCCATTCATTATAAAACAATTATTATATTTTTATAAATTATTATTTAGTTCATAAAGTTCTTTTTATTATAATTAATAATAATATTATTATTATATATTGAAAGCTTTTATTATGAGGCTCCATCATAATTTATGTCATTATTGTTAAAGGTTTTTTTGATTGGTTTATTTTAATTTACAAGGTTTTTTATTCAACTTTGAGCAGTTTCTTCCTATATACTGCCATGTGACATTATTCTTAATTTTCTGACTCGGTCTATTCCCTCCCTGATTGGTTTAAATACCATTTGGGCTTGTCTCGTGTCGCTTTTTTCTTTTTTGACACGCTTTATGGTTTTATAAACTTTCAATCTTTTAATAGGTTCAAAGTTTTATATATGTTTTTTTATCCACAAATATTTGTTCAAGCTTTTTGCTCTTTTTATAAGCGAATATATAGTTTGTTAACAAACTTTAATGATTCATATTATATTTACTTTTCTTATTTATTAATATATTTTATGTTTTCATGTGCATTTTCTTTTTTTCCTCGTAATTTATTTATATTTTGCTTTTATTTATTTTTTTTACTTTTTATAATTATTTGTATATTTAAAAGTCGCCCTTTTACAAAACTTTGGGAAAAGAAATGTGTCAGTCTGGCGTTTCCGTCGATTTGTTTTTGTTTCCCTCTCAATATATTGATATTGCTTCATTAAGTAATTGTTCTTATCTAATACTTTTTTGTTATTATAACAATGAAATAAATTAATAATAATAAATTATTTTATACTAGCAGTGCTAATAGTAATAAATAATACATTATTAAAAATAATAATAGGCGATCTCACCTCACAAACGAATGGTCAACTTTATTTGTTCGAGAATTTTAATGCTGTTGAGCTTTTTTATTTATTTATATTAATATTATTACACTTATTATTCATTCCTACTATTAGAATTTTCATGGCCGTCGATTGGTCAATGAAGTAAGAATGGCAGTCACTCGTGCGTATTTATTTTTGTTAATATGATTATTATTTCATACTAAAAAATAGTACGAAATAAAAAATTTATAAAAATAATTAAGTTGGGATCAAACTGCTTTTTGATTTGTTCTATTGTTCGCAGTAAAGCCGCAATTTTTTACGAGTTCTGCTAACCCAATAGTTATATAAAGAAGATAACTATGCACCAATAATTTGCATTCAAACTCGTTACGTTTACATTTTTTATGAAATATTTTGTTTCAAATTTAGTTAATTTTATAATTTTAATAAAAGATTTTATATTTATTTATTTTAATTCTAAAATTTTTTTAACATAATGATAAATAGTAAAATATATTAAATTCAGAATTACTTATATAAAGTTAAGTAGTAAATAAAAGTAAAGATATGATCTTAGAAAAGGTAAATTTCTATTTACTACCTACAAACTTTTTTTATAAAGTAATAGTTATATAATTTAAGAAAAGTAGATTTTGTATAGTTTTACTGCATATCAAAAGTGTTATACCTAAAAGTTTTGGTAAAGGTTCCTATTGGCATAGTAATATAGTTTTATCCCTTTATAAAATTTTACTCTTAGTAACTTGAAAATATTTATAGTAAAACTTTTAAGCTCTAATTTTTAATAATATTAACATTAAAATATGGACGCAAATTATAATAAAATTCATAAGAAAAGTTATAAATAAATTTTATTGAAATTTTAAAATATGTGACTATTATATTTAAAAAAAAGCTAAAAAAGTTCAATTATAGGAAATTTATATGATGCTTACATGCTTACATATAAATATATTTAACTTAAAAATATATAAAGAATTAAAGTTTATTAATAATAACAAGAAAATGATTATCAACCGTAAATGTTTATGTTTTATTATAAAGAAGTGTAATGATAGGAACTTATACTTACTAAAATTATTTGTGTAAAAAGGTAACTGAAAATAAATATAAAACTTATAAAGTATAATAAAATATTTAAGAGCAACTAAAAATATTATTAACTAAATGTTTTCTTTATTATGAACTGAAGAATTTCTAAGAGTAATTAATGATTCATTAAGTACAAAATTTTTTCTAGCAAACTTAATACTAAGAAAATTTTTAACTTTTTTCATTTTTAAATATATATATTTATATCTTCTTATTATCTAACTCTTAGTAAATAATGAAGTTAATGTTATTATTACGTGTATGTAGGAAATATCGGCTTTGAAGCTTTGCTACGAGTGCGGTGTAGTACAGGTCAGCTTAGTTCTTATTTTTTATAAAATTTGATTGGTTACTTTCCCATTTTTTGAGTTTATTTACGTTGTATTGGTTAATTTTTTCGCTTGATTTGTTACGTTTAACGTTTTAATAAAAAAATAACTTTTGTTAAATATTACTATTTTACTTGAGATGTTAATTTATATTATAATAAAATTTTTCTATATATTTCTTTATATCCTTTACTTCGACTTTAAGCGCATTTTTTAGTGGTACGTCCGCCGCACTTTTTGAGGACAAAATACCCCCTTTTCCGGCCAATTAATGGCTTGTTAATAGTTTTTATAATGAATGAATAGCTATAAAATTGAGTTGTTGTACTTTTATGTGTTTTATTGGCTTCTATTTTATTATTTAAATACTTTTTTAAATTGTGATTGGTGCAATAAATTATTTTTTGTTTTGTTTTGTTTATTATATAAAATTATTTAATTTCATTTTTACTTTTTTTATTAATTTATTTTTAATATTATTAAAAATGGTATACACTACTTTTTATCGATTATGAAAATTAAAAAAAAAATATATAAATAAAATATTTATATATTATGCAGGTTTCTTATATATTTATGTTACTGGAAAGTTTTGCATTATATATATATTTTTTTAATAAAATAGTCTCTACTTTATTGTTATATTTGCGCGATTATAGTACTTCTTTAACAAGTTTTTTTACTTTTTATTTAATCTTTTGCTTGTAATATTTGATTGTGAGTAGTTTTATAATATATTTTCCTTCTTTTTAACAATTAAGTTGGAAATAATTTCAAGAATAATAATATTGTTTTTATTCGTATATAATTATTATATTTTTTGTTTATTTTTATATTAAACTTTTTTTAATATCTTTATCTTAACTATACTCAATTATAACTTATTTTTTTTTGCTACATTATTATATTTATGATTACTTTTTCTTATTATTATTTATTTTTACGTATTTTATTTTTTGTGTATGTTTTATTATTTTGTAGCTTTTTCGTTTGTAATTTAATGTAGTAATTAAAATTTTTATTTAAAATTCTAAGAAAACTTTTATTTTTATTTATTTAAAAATATGTTGGGTCCACTTTATTTTTTATTCTTATTATGTATAAAAATTTGTTTAAAATTTTGAATCTATGAGTGTTTATTGATTTAATTTTATTATTTTATGGTATATTTTATCACGAAACCACAAGACCTCAAATAGTTTATAATATATTTTTACTTCATTATATAAATTGCAAGTTGATATCGAGAAAACTTTTAAAATTATAATGAAGTAAATAAAATTTTATATTTAAAAAGCAATATATATATATTGCTTTTCGAAAGATTATTTATTTATATAAGGTTTTTATGCCTTTTTCATTATACACTTTCAGTAGTATTACTATATATATTGCTACTATTTTTAAATGATTATATATGTGTAAAAGTAGTTTTTACATTTGTAAAACTTTCATATTAATTATCGTATAGTTTTCATACTTTTCTATATTATATTTATTTTATATTTTTACTCTGCATTTACTTATATATTTTTTTACCATTATAAAATGTTAAGAATACCAATATATAATATTTATTTGTGTTGACAAATATTTTGGGTTTTGTTTTTTTAGTTTGTTAAATATTAATTTAATGTTATCATATCATAGTTTTAATTTCTTTTCTTCGACAACTTTTTACTTTTTAAATGTTATTTATATATTTGTTACCATATCTATTATTTTTCTGTGTTTTAATACTTAATTTTTTATATATTTATTATTTTACCTTTCCTTAATGGTTTTTATATGATAACTTATTATTTTTTTATTTTTAATATATTTTCTTTATTAATAACTATTTTTATTTTTATGTTACTTCTCGTTTATTAATTAATAATACTATTTTTCTTTATTTATTATTTATTATTTATTTTCATTTTTGGCATTTTTTGGGCTTAAAATTACTATATCCTATTCCATTGGCTTCATTTTTATTTTTTTTATAGTTGAGTTCTTTTAAATGTTTAAAGTTTAAACCAAATTTTTACCAGCGCTTTTTTTTTATCTATTAATTATTTTTCTTTATACTTCATTATCATTTCTTCGTTTTTTACATTTATATATCAATTTTTATTTTTATTATTGATTTGATATAATTTATTATTATTATACAATAAAAGGATTACGAGCAGCCACTTTTGAAGGGAATATTGTACTTTCAGGCAATAACGACGTTGAACTAGCCGCCGTTGATTCGTCCAGAGTTCTCTTTTTTATATAATTTCATTGGATATCATTATCCTATATATAGTAGATTTATAAGAAATTTTATTTTATAATGATATTAAAGAGGCGTATTAAAAAGTAATATCCGTTCACAGGCGGAATATTTGGTTTTTTAAAATTTTTTTTATTTTTAGGGAATTTATAGTAGGAATTAAGTTGTTATTACTAATATGCATGCAAAAACTGTATTAAAAATGGTAATATTTCCGATAATTCTATAATATTATTTATATAGCGCCCATAAAAAATAGTGGCCATCACGAGTATTTTACTTTTTTAATAAGCAAAAATCTATTTGTATAAAGTAATGAGTAAATGCGTGTTTTGCGCAAAATTTAAAACTTTTTTGTTCTTGTTATTTTTTTTTTACTTTTTATATATTTATTATTATTATTATATTTCATTTAAATAGTAATAGTTTAGTAATACTTATTTACTATTTAAAGAAAATTATTATTTATATATAATATTTGTTAAGTATATTACTAGTTTTTTCTTGTCATACTTAACTTTTGTATATTATTTTTAATATAAATAATGTTTTTTTATATGTCTATAAATAATTTTATATCAATTTATTGTTATTAACTTAATATCATAGACGCTGTTATGTGGAATGTTATACGATAATTCTTTTCCGGCTGGCTCTTCTTTTGCTTATATTCAAACGGCGCTTCTCTATACTACAAGGCTTCTAAGAATATATTATATTAATAATAATAGTAATACAACTTGAAGCGCTTTTTATCAAAAGTTATATGTAGTAGTAATAAATAAAGTAATAAATGTAAAAGAATGGAGGTTGCTATTTTAAGCTTGCATGTGATATTTAATAATAATAACAGGTTTGGAGAACGTTTTAAATAACTTTTTGTAATTTTATAAAATAATAATAATGATAAGTAAATAATAATTATGATAGACTTTGGAAATTGTTTGCAAACTTTTATGTGATCCTAATAATAATCATAATTATAGATTTGGAGAACGATTAGTTCGAGTATTTAATCTTCGTCTTCCAGTTGTAACAACTTTATTTAACGTATTTAAAGGTTCTCATATTATCATTATTATTACTATTAGTATTACTGAAACTTTTAGGTGCTGATTTGGATTGTATTATGAATTATTATCTTCGTTGCGGTAAATATTTTTTCTTTTATTGTATATTTATATCTCTTTACTTTCTTCTAATAAGTATTACAAAAAAAGTACGGATACACAATTTATATTGAAAGTATTATTATATATATATTATAAACTGAAATGAAAACTATACATTTTACATATAAATATGTTAAAATTTTATTATTATATTTTAATATATAGCAAGTTAAGTTTTTATTAAAACGGTACTATTTTTTAGGTAAACCAGAGTACTTTTACTACAAAATATTACGAAACTCAGATTATTAATGATAATAAAAAATATGTCAAAGCATTATTTTATTATTTATCTGAAAAATATATATTTTTTTTATAATAATGGAAGCAAATAAATTTGGGTCGACATAGTAATTCGACCAATAAAGAGATTTTTATAGTAGATTTTGAAGTATAACAGTTTTATGCTTGAAAACTTCAAAAATTTATAACAAAAGTTTTATAATATTTAATATATATTTTATTGAAGGACCGTGAAGAGAATATAATATATATATTCATATATAATGCAAAGTAAAAGGAATTTGTATCTTTTCTTTAGTAATTATGCAAATTACTATTAATTATATGTTATACTTTTTTATATAAATTTTTATAAACATTACGAAGTAGTTAGTGGTAGTTGGCCTTAATAATTTTTGTAATAATCATGACGAATTTTACGAAAACTCTTATAATGATATTTTCTTGGATAAAACTTGTCATGCTTTGTTATTAGCGGCTAAAGAACTGAAAAAGAATGCAGAAGTCAAAGAAAAGAAGGAAAAAATATTATATCATTGCGCAGAACTATTAGTAATATTATTTTAATAAGTTCATAATGAACTTTTCATAGTAAAATTCTCCTATAATTATTAATAAATTTTCATTGCAGAGCGTGTATCGTAAAAATTGTGCAAGTAATAAGCCTTCTGGTTCTTCACTTTATTATTACTATTATTACTATTATTTATTATTATTTATTATCATTAGCACAACTAATTCTTCCGGACTCTCTAAAGTTGTTTCCCGTTTATACCTGTTCTTTATGGAAGAATGAGTTACTCCGCGCCGGTTTTCTCCTTTTTATTTATTTTTGTGTTTAATATTACTATAAGCTTATAATATTTTATTGTGTTGTATTTTTAATTTTTTTTATATTTGAATAGTATTTATTATTGTATTGTTTAATATTGTGTATGTTCATTTTTTTTTCTTATACATTTTCACTAAATTATATATGTTATAAGTCCAGTAAAATATTTTCATTATTTAAAATTTTAAATTATATAAATTTATTCTTATACTTTTTCATTTTACTATAAGTTATTACTTTTTATATATATTTTCTATATTGTTTCGTATATTTTCTGTTTAGTCATTTGTACTTTAAAGACTTTCATAAACTCGTTTTTAATGAACCAATTATATGTGGAGGTCACGTGAAAAGCGACCGCCGTGCTTTTCTTATTCACGAAGTTCTCTCTATGCCAGTCGAGCTGTCCATTCCCTTTATTTATCCTACCCTCGTTTGCTTATTGGATGACTTTCCGGTAAATATTTATATTATATTATCATTATTTATTATTAGCGTTATCATCATTTTTTAGGAAGGAAGCATTTCTCCTGCTCTTGCTTGCACCGCGGAGTCTATTAAGCCCGACTCCGCTTATTTGTTTGGTAATTATAGGTCATAATTATTATAGGAACACGTGAATTTTATAATATTTTCATAAGAAAATGGCTTTGAAATGTTTTTGTTTATTGGTCCTCAATGCCCCTCAAGCTTTTACCTCGAAGTCTTTGGATTCGACAATCCGAAAGCCATTAATTTTGATTTGTCAGATATTCCAGTTCTCGAAAAGTTTGATTATATTTTTTATATATTAAATTTTTTTATTTATTTTTTAAATATTGAATACTTCTTAATTTTTAATTAATTTGTTTTCTTTCCTTGTATATTTATTAACTCTATTTATCGTTTTTATATTATATTTATATTTATAATATTAATTTTTTACTGAACAACTTTTTATTATCAATATATTTGTTGTATTTATATTATTATATATACAAATTATTTATTTTTTTTTCTTAATAACTTTTTTATTACTCTATAGTTTTTACTATTTTTCTTGTTAATATTAATCGTTTCGTTAAATTTTACTACAGTTTATATACATTTTTAATTTTTATTATTATTATTATTACTTATAACCTAATAAGAACTTTGTATTTGCTCTACATTGTTATAAAATAATAACTGACTTATATTAAGTACATCAATTTACTTACAGTTTGTTTTTTGCAATACACAATATATATTTTTTATAATATAATTGTTGTCTTGTTCCTTAATTTATATACATTATTCTTTAAAATTTTATTTATATATATATATATATATTCAATTTTACTTATTATTATTTTGTAATAGAACTTCCTATTTTTTACATATAACTTTGGGTTTTAAATATATAATACTTTTACTTATTAATTATTATTTTAAAATTTTTTTTTAAAGTCATTATTACATTGAAATTTTTTTTTAATTATCTATAATTTTTCTAGCCAACTCAATAAGAAACTTCGAAATCTTGTTGATCTTCTTCGGCATCGTCGAAGGCGGTACATGAGTTTGACTATTGCCACAGCGGCCAGTAAGAACGAGAACCTTTTGCAATACTATCTAGTAGAAGATAAAGGTGGTTGTCTTTTTTTATTATCAAAACTTAAATTTTATTTTTAAATAGTATTAATACTTATTGTTGCGTTTATATTTTTTATTTACGTAAAAGTGTTTGGTATTTTCATTTTTATTATAACTTTTAAAAATTATTATTATAAATTTTTATTATTATTCTAATTTTAGTTATTTTATTATTTTTTAAATTATTAAAACTGATTTTTAACATTTTTATTTACTAAAAAATATTTATTATATAGATTATTATTAATAAAACTTAATTCAGAATTATTTTATTATCTTTTTTATTTATAAATTTATTATTTATTATGATCCAAATAAAATAAAAGTTTTTAAAAGTTTCTTTATTGTTTATTATTAATGTTTGCTAAGTCTTTCTATTATTATGGTATAATATTTCTTTAATATTTTTTTAACTCTTTTTTTTACTTTATTATTTCATAAATTTATAATTTAATTTTTTTTAATTTTTCTTTTTTTTATACCAAAATTAAACTTTTTCAATTTTTATTATTTATCTTTTTATTTATAGTTAGTATTTATTAACTTTTCTTATTAGTATATTATTTTATTTCCTATTGAAAAGTTTATTTATGTTTTATAATTATGATTAATATCAACTTCGCGACTTATGTCACTTTTTATTTATATTTACTTGATAATATCATTATAAAAAAAGTTATTGTATATCTATAATATATATATAATCTTTTTAATTAATTGTATACTCTAAATTTTTTATTACAAGTTTATTTTACGTATAATGTTTTCTTCAGGAGAGAATAGCCGCTCTTATCATGACACTTTACGTTACATTCACTCGAAAATCCGCGCGTTATTACAGTGAATTTGGCCGTATTATAAAAAGAATAACTGGAAATAAAAATTATTAATAAAAATATTTTTAATTTTTATGAAAATAAACTTATAAAAAATTGCTTATGGGTTTGTACAGAGTTTTACTAGTTGTAAGTTATACCCAGTGAATTTTAATATAAGATATACTTCTCCGAAGAACATTAAAATATGAAAGTTCAAGAATAAAATTATCAAGAACATAAAATTTAATAGTAAATAAAAAAATTTCAACAAGAAAATAAATAGTGTATTAGTTAAACAACCAAAGAAAAAGGTAAAATTGGTAATAATGTCAGCAAAAAAGTTGATTTTTCAAAATCAAACGTAGGGTGCTTATTTTAGTGGAAAACCTTATATTATTTTTATATTAAGTTTTCAAAATTTCTAATTTTTTTAACAAGCAAATGTAATAATATACGTTGATGCGCTTTCAGCGGGCCAATCTAAGTTCGGTGTTAATTTTTACTTTCATTGATGGTACGGAGGTCTTTCCACTTTGAAAAAAAATAAGAATTATTTCCGACTCCGATCCCCCTCTAGATCGTTGAGGGAGGGGTCGTAGCATTTGGAATAAGGGGCACCAGTTATTGGTCGAAGAGGGAAACGCGTAGGCTGTGGTATAATGTACGCACTTTTAATAGAAGCGCAGTTTATAGTGCAAGGGTACACAGTAACAAAGGTTGTTTTCTTTGGCTTTTACCGCTAACTTTCTACGGTGTTGCCATTAGGTTGGTCGATTATGAATAATAACGCCCATATAAGGAGCGCACTACTTTCATCTGCCTATTCTCTTTGACGTCAGGAATTGTTTGTCGGTGGTACAGTAATTGTTCGGGGCCTTTTCGAGTTGACGAAGCGTATATCACAGTGTCATGGACGCAGATCGCAAAGGAAGTGTGTAAATTTCAAAGATTGGTAAATTCTGCATATGCAAAGTGAAGAACAGGAATAATAGCAACGAGCCTTCCGGGAGACTGTCTTATCTGCAATGACGAAATTATATATCCATATATTGGAAACTTATGTACTGCTGCTATCTAAAACGGCGAACCCCCTAAACGCATGGTAATTCACCTTAGAAACCTAGGGTTTAACGTTCTCAGTGAAGGAGAGGTGTTTCGTAACCTCCAAAATTAGAAAATGAAAGCCATACCGGCAAAAATGGTCGCATTGATTATGTTAAGATATTTATGGGATTTTTATTATTACCTACAAGGTTTTTCTTTGTACCGAACCTACCTATGCCATTCTTCTATAGAGTTCTACGCCGTAGACGATTAACGAGCAAGAGTAAAATACCTAGCGAAAAACTACAGACAAATAAACAAAGCTAAAAGAAAAAACCCTCTGCTTTATTATTATTTATTCATAGATGGCAGTTCCTGGTACTCGAAAGAGTCAAAAAAACTTCTAATGCTCTCTTAATTAGGAGATCGCAGATATATTACAAAATAGCTTTTACTTGAAAAGGTGTATTGTTCTCTTGACATTAACCGTCGAAAACTAACACTTACGCGCGTCACGTGGGTGGCGATAAAGTGCCCTGTCTTGGTGCTCATAAATAAGTTCACTCACCAGCATGCGATTAGTGTACCTGGTTTGCCAGTCGATAAAAGCATTAGCAATACGGTGGAGGACGACGTCTAAAGGACCCAGCCGGAGGCCCCGGAAAAAAGCTTTATCTCACACGAACTACGAAGCGCGCAGCAATTTGTTCTCTCGCACTTGGAGTGCCAACGCTATTGCAGTGGTTTCGTTGGTCCAAGCAGCAGACGCGTATGTCATTACTGGCCAAGTATTTCGCTTGAGAAGACCACGAAATCTTCACGCCACCAAATTAAGGGCGCCAATGGGGGGATGCATTTCTTAGAAATTAAAAGAGCGCTTTGTTCTTCGATATTTATAGTAACTTTACTATACGGTACCAGCCAGCAGAGCACGTCGCATAAATAAACTGAAGGTAACAGGCGAGAAAAGTGATCCTTAGGGGGCCAGTGCTATCAGGAATCGAAGGGGCGACGCTATCTCCGTGCTAACTCTGAAACCGCGACCATTAAGGTCTGACCTCAACACCTTATAAAGGCCACGAGGAACGGTCAAAGAGCTCAGTTTGCCCACCATATCTTCATGCCATAACCGAAATCCTATTCAACGTTAAGGAAGACAGAGCCCGTTGCGAATAGTTCAATCAATTAAACGGAGGAGCTACTGGGCCGTAGAGTGCTCTTGCCGAATTACGAACTAAAACCCTAACTAGGCGTCCGAGAGCCAATGACCTCCCCAAGTTGGAGCACTAAAACTGTCTAACCCACTTTGCTGGCCGCTGATAGGAGACTGAAGACTGATGGGTGAGTACTTGCTGGTTCATGACCCCGGTTAATATGTCTTTGGCCAAACGGTCGGAGTCCTCCATCGGGTCGTAAAGGCGTCAAGAACAGTCGCTGAATTTACTGGGAGGTACGGATAATGCACTTCTGTTAAGGGCATTTTCTTTAGCTTCTCATTAATGATGCCGTTGGGGGCAGCGCAATTCGTTTAGATAGCTCTTCGACAAGCGCTTGAACTTCGTCAACATTAACTAGCTATAGTAGTTCGTGGACATTGGGAATGGGTAAGCTCAGCTGAGGAAGCGCATCATTGGCAGTTAAGTGAGCAACTGGCACGTTTTCGGTTGCAAGGAGATCTGCAAAAAACGAAGCTTTGTCTCTACCACTCTAGGTCCCCATTAATAAGGGGCAGTAGTGATGCAAGCCCCCTATTGTTGGTCCTTTTAACAAATTTCCAGGAGGCTTAGATGCTGCCCAATTCGCATATATGGTGCAGCTTGGGCTCCCATTTATTGTAAAATAAGTCAACGCAGTTGGTTAAGCGTAATTTTGTCTTCGGCGCTCTCCGACAGCATGACCACTCAATAAGGCGTCCACGTTGGCCTCTAAGTGCCTTCAGTTTGACAGACAGGCGATCGGGGCGGTACATTATCTTAATAGTTATCGTAGCAATAGAGTAAGCCATGTTCAGTGCGCTTTCGAATAAGGTATAAGTATCATTCAGCAAAGTAACTGTGCGGAGTTTTCAAAAGTTCAGCATATTTGCACCAGTTGGTAAAAGAACGGGTGATGCTTTTCGATCTGTTCTTCTCGTCGAACAATTTAAGTATAATTGGAAGATGACCGGAGGCAGCTCGTTGAGCGCTTCAATTGACTTTGAGAGACGTAAATTTATGTACGGCGAACCCAATACGTCCACTGTGCCTGTACTCTCCAAAGGCGCCGAGGGCGCACGGTCCGTGTTCATCAGCATAGGTCTTAAGCATGTGGTCATTGAGACTCTAGGACAAGACAGCGGAAGAGTCATTTTCAAGGTCGGGATCCAAATCGGAAGGCGGTAATAGCTTCCAAGGATATTTATAGACAGCGGTTACAAGCACGGGGGCGGGGGGAGGGGAGGGCAAATAGGTTTCACTGCCTTAACACTCTGTAGAGCTGGCAGAGACATAGAATTATTTCGAATGCCTTGTTTTATTAAGACGGCCGCCCCCCGCCGCAAAACAAACTTAAATGCATTGATGATTCCTTAATACAACTTTCCAACAATAAAGAATTATAATTAACTGTTCTTTAACTGATGTCGATACTTTAAGCCTTTGCGATAACCATTAAAAACTTAAACAAAGTGCACAGAAGAACAAGTTATTATCTTTGCTAATAAACCTTAGACTATGAACACACGTTAAACTAATAATGCTTGGGGAATAATATAACTTAAATGAAAGTTCTAACCAAGACTGTTCAAACTACACAAAATATACTTTCATTATAGGTTTGTGCTAGAGAAAGTAAAAACACGTTTTTTAATACTATCGGACAACGTTTTAAACTAGGTCAAAAAGATGTGCGGAATCATACTTACTATATAATTGTTTATATATAAACAAAACCTGCACTTTCTGAAGCAGACATGGGCACATTGAAAAGGCCTGTCTACGTAAACGAAAATTTCCAATAAATGTCAATACAACCATCATGCAGGCTCCCCTGGATAAGTTGTGGTCTCGGGAAGCCTAGTTTAACTAACTCCCCATATAGTAGTGCAGTGATAAACCGCTTGAGAAAAAACTCAAGGACAATAGTTACAGAAATTTTGTAGCTTAAGTTAAACATTTCGCAGGAAAAAAATGATTTTAAGAATCATAAATTTTTTGTATATATAAGGTAGGGGCTTCTAATAATTAAAACGAATTACCATGTTACAATGGACCCCTTTGAGCAACTATGTCGAATATACCTGGGCATAAAACTGACTCCAAACTAAACTAGCATGCCCACACCATTTACGTTATTAGTGTAGCGATGACTTCGGAAAGTTCCTTTTAGCCCCTTCTGTGGAAAAAAAAAGTAAGCTGGACTTAAAAATATTCCCTTTACTATACAATCCTGGTTAAACCAGTACTCACTTACGCGTCAATTTTATGAAGCCTATTTGGACGCCACTACTAATCCACAAATCTTAATGATAGTTTTTTTCGTATGCTAAGCGTGGGGTGACTTGGTTGGTTAAGAAATTGCAACTTACACTGAACTATAAAATTGCGCCCGTCATAAAATTTTTATGGTTTTAGGTTTCAAGACACATCCTAGCCAACTTCTGTACAAAGTGTTAGCTTATTACAATCCTAACAACTACACTAAAGCAAACAACCCAAAAGTATTTTTATAGAAACCCATAATTTAACAATAACAATATTTTTAATACTATTTAGTTATAATTATATAAGTAAATATAATTATAAAATAATAATATTAGAATAATATATAGTAATAACATGAATCCGAATTATTTTAGTTTAAACGCGGGGACTTATAACCCCTACCACCCTCAATGTTGGTATACGTATTAAGCAGGCTAGGACGCCTGTGGCTGGCATGTCACTTTTTATAAAAGTAAAAGTAAAATAGTAAAGTTTAAGAGTTTGGAATTTGGAATTCCGTTGTTGATATCTTT